GAGTCACAGCAGCATATAGGCACCTCTAATCCATGCCAGGTTTCAGATAAGAGTGAGAGACTATCACTGATTGTTGCTTCTCAGTTTACTTTCCTGCACTAAAACCCCATGGAAAACAAAGCGTTGTTGCTGCTGGGTGCTATGTTACGCTGCCTTCAGATGTTGTGCAGGGAGCTCTTTGTCTGTCTGGATGTACTTGACTGGTTTGTAACCACAGTTGCTCTAAAGGGTCACAGTTTAGCCCCTCAGGGTAACAAATCATAAGTAAAACTGTTAACCAGTATCTTTCATAAGTGTGACAGTAATCTGAGATAGCTGTCTGTATCTCCATCTCTGTTAGAGGCTGGGTTATTGAGTTGTATATGTGATGTTATTGAAACCACTGAGACATTTCCCCTTCTTGGCAGGGTCTTTCTGAACAGTGTGCTGTCTGCCATTCTGGGCCTGGGGCTGCTGCTGCTCATCGCTTGCTATGTCTTTGTGGAGTTCTTCGTTGACCCCACGAAGCTTCGCTCCGACCAGCACTTTGATGGTACAGCAGTTGCTTCAGTTCAGCATCCTGTGAATCAGGCAGTGTATCTCCATATGGGTTTGGATTCTGTGGACTCTCCCATTGAAGAGGAACTCCATTCCTTACTCCATCTATTTTATATTTCTGTTAGAGTACCTCTGCTCAGCTGGATGGAATGCCTTTCCTTACAGAGCTAACTGCTCTTCCTAAAGGCCCAGCAGGCACCAGATTTCTTAGGCCTCCAGTGCACAGTGGGTCTGCAGCTACTTTTGACTTAAAAAGATTTTCAGCTGTGAAGTTTAGTTAGAGATATTTCATACCTGGACAATCTACTTACCTCCTCTTCTCTTTGTTTTCCAGCTCTAAGGAACCACATGGACCGCTGGTTTGTGTTTCTTCCTGCATCTCCTGTTGAGACTCAGGCACCTGCCATTTTGGTCACAGCTGGGATTTTTATTCTTCTGAGCCTAGTGACCGTGATCCTCCTGGGCCACCTCTTGATCTTTCACATCTATCTCTGTAGGTGTTATATTCCTGCCATTTGCATCCCCATTTCATTTCCACCTAGCTTCTACTCGTCCTGCGCTCACTGTGTTCAGCCATGTCACAAATACACACACATTGTGGAAGATTGACATTGAAAAGGTAGAAAATTGGGGTTTGACATTATACTTCTGATTTTTCCCTCAGTACCAGGGAGGCTTATCAGTGCATGTGCAATGTGGGGCTTGCATTGGGCCTGTGCATTCATGTCTGAGTGATGTTATCCTGGAACTGAAAGCACGTGGGAGGGGATTGGAGAGACCAGGTGGGATAAACTGGTCAATCCCACCTTGTTGCCAGCAGTAGCAGATTCAGATTCAGATGCAGAATATGCATAGATTGACTCTGCATATGGACTGTGCTCCCCAGTGTTCCTGTTGTGTGACAGACCCTGTTTCTCCCTTCCCCAGAAAAATGTGGATGTATTGAACTAAATTTCTAATAGGAGGCCAGACATCCAGGTCAAGGTCCTTTTATGGAAGTTGTACCATATTGACACAAGAAGACTTGTGGAATTCAGAGGAAGAGGCTTTCAGAAAGGCTTCTCTTTAGATCTCCTGCTTGTTGCTCTGTCAAGAAGGGATATTTGTGTTTGTTTATGCACAGATGGGCATCTGAAACCTTTTTTCAGCCATCGTCTAAAATGAAGCCAATGCTTTTTGGCTGCTGACAAAAATCTTGATAGGAAAAGATCTTACACTTGCAGTAGTCAGTAGTGCCAAAACTAGGGAAGAAGGGATATGTTGGAAGAGAAGTGAGGACGGCGGTTACAGAGGATCCTTGGATAGATTTTCAGGTTCTCAGTTAACAGCCATGCAGGTGCCAACACAAACTAGGTCAGCACAAACCAGCACAGCTCCAGAAGCAGCACAGTTGCACTGCTGAAGTATAACATTCGATGGGTGAGTGTTCCCACCTGATGACGGCCGTTACAGTCAGTGAGGACATTGATCATCATGTTCCTTCTAGGGCCTCTTTGAGCTTGACTTACATTTGGTAGCACTGTGATTTTACTTTCCTGGTGCAATTGACAGTGGTGGGGGTTCATGGCGATGCCTGGAGGTTTGAAAGGTCGATATAGCAGTGTAAAAAGGCTAAAAGCATAACAAACCTCCAAGAAGGTTTCTTTTGGATGGAAACGGGTTACTCGGTTTAATCCCGAGCAGTATTTATCCTGTCCTTGTGCCCGACTTCCACAAGAGGGTGCTCCCTGCCTGGGATACAGTTCGGCTTGTGCTGTCAGACAGAAACCTCTGTGTGTGCCACTAGTTCTGCTCGGTTTGGGGGATTTTTTTGTTGCTGTTGTCTTGGGGTGATTATTTTTTTCTCTTTCAGAATAAATTTTGAGCCAAATTAAGTATTACTTCTGCCCCAATTTTAAATCTTTATGACTAATGTGGATAATTATTGTTTGGTTAATGTTTTATTACATTAAAATCTGCTGTCCTGATGAAATTGGTTCCAGCTGTGCAGGATGCAGTGTGTAAGTCCTTGCTTTAAAGGAGGGATGTTACCCTTCTGAAGCCTATATTGTGTGCTGATATGAGTAAGCATTGCACTTAAACTTACACACTGAGATTTGGGGAGATAGACACAGCATGTCTGGTTTAGATTCCTCCTATTTCACACCTGTATTTGTCAACAGTCTCTGAATGCTTTAAGGCAGGCAGTGTTGCAATGAACTGTCTACCCTATTTTGGGACTTGAAATACAGTTTACCAGTTCAAATGTAATTACTGTTCATAAATGTTTCTTCATAAACCTTTTTGGTTTTAAATAATTAAATTACAGAAAGAAAATAGCACCCCTATGAATGGTACCGCCATTAGGCCTCACATAATACAAGTGGCTTAAATCAGGTATGACTATGAAAATTTAGAATCTAGTTTTGTTACCAGCACAGTAAAAGTTTCAGAGTTCCTCTCCTGATTTTATTTGCTCATGGTGATCACCCAAAAGGAAGGAAGTAGGTTATTCTCAAGAGTAGTAGGTCCATGTATTTGAAATTACCATCCAGATTCAGGCTCAATTCTAGAGGCATTCAGTGAAGCATGGCACTCAGAAGGTTGGAGGGAGGATATTTCTTTTTCTTCAATACTGACAGGCCAATGGTCAGCAGAACAAAAGGAAAAAAAATAGCAGGGAATATAGGAAAGGATATGGAGCCCTTCATAGGCTGTGACTGTGTTGCACAGTATGTGCTGCAGGGTTATCTGGCCAAACAAACACAGTATTTCTTAACTAAATAGCTCAATTAAAATATTTTCAAACTTACAGTGTAGGTATTCAGAAACCAACAAACTCTGAATTAGAAATGGTTGATTCATAAGCCCTTTGCTTATGAAGCAATATTCTGTTTCTCAAAGGAAGCAAACAGTGCCATGCTGGGAGCACTTGCCAGCACCCTGCACTGTCCTTGTTAAGTGCATTTGCTAATCACTTGGCTGCAGACTCTCATTCATCCCTGTGTTCTGTATTCCTGGCCAAATGCATCTTGAATTCTTATTTCTTCATCAGGTGATTGCTTTAGCAGGAGGGACACCTTCTTCTCTGCTCTCCCCCACTTCCCTGCAAAGTGCTCCTGTGTCCAGGGCATGGTTTTGAGAGATAAGATATTACTGATACAAATGTCTTCAGGCAGAGGGAGGATTTTAGTCCAGATGTCCTACATCCCAGGCATCAGCTTCAACTGCTGTGCTTCTGTAGAAAGGAGCAATGACTACCAGGCTGTGCACTAAAAATCTTCATCATCCATTTCTGGGCTTTGTTCTCTAAAACTACCATCACAGGATCATTGTGGGAGGAATATCTGAGTTTTGGGAGCTCGTAAGATTTCGGGTCTCATGGAGAAACCAAACTGCTCAGAAATGTCAAATGCTTTTGGTCATTCATGGGTGCAGATGTGTTTGTGTGGGACCTTAAGAGCACATAAACTCAGGGACATGTAAACTCTGGGGACATCTGTTTGGCATGAGGCAAACTGTGCATTTCATGCTTACTGATTTGCACATTAAGTGTCTTAATCTCTACAGGACACACTAACCTGCTCAATTTCTCTTCTCCATTTAGCACCACATACCTTCTGATTGCTCACTGAGCTTTCTGTACAATGCAGCTCTTACCCCTGCTGGGTATGAGTAATGGATTTGCTCTGAAATGAGCTGAACAAATGAGTACAGCATAGAAGGCTGTGCCATTCCATGGGAGTTTAGAATAGTGGGGTTCTCAGAAAGCATTGTGCTGATGACAATGAATGTACAGTGCACAGGTACTTTTGGCTTAGAGAATCAGTCTGTTCATGTGGATAGTTACTATCTGATTCTGTAGTTATTCAGACTGTTTGTGTAAGTGCAATCAGGGAGTGGCCTTTCCTGTGCTGACAGGTCTCTTTCTTCCCTCCCAGTGTGGCACAAACTGACTACCTACGAGTACATCCTGCAGCAGCGTCCCCAGCAAGAGGTGAAAAAGGTAGACAAGCAACAGGAGTCTTGTTCCTCCCAAGTGAGACCCAGTCAGGTACTCATCCTACGTTCAGTCCATTTCTCAAAACCAGCCTTGCTTGTCCACAGGCTAAAGTTTGCTTTGCTGTCTTGAGCTCCAAATGTTAAAGGCAGTTGCCAGAGATAAGACATTAGAGGTTCTTTGATGGAGTTGAGCAGGATGCGAGAGAGTGCAAGGTCTGTAATTCGATGCACACTTTAGGCATAAGCAAGTACAGCTTTCAAAGGAATCAGTCCCACCCACTCTCTTCCTCCACCACTTGTTTTGGGCCTTGCACTATCTCTTCTCTTCTGCCAGCACAGCTGTTCATTGCAGTCATGCAGTGAACTGGGTGGGGGAACTCATCTGAGTAACAATAAACTTTATTAAAAAAACAGTTGAGCTGGACCAGCTCCCTCCTGTTCGGTTCACCAAGCAGTCACAGAAATGCCTGGCTCAGCACCAACCAGGGTGACTGAAGAGTGGGAAGAATCCTGCCCCTGAAAAGGACAGGGCCATCTGTTTGGGTGGCAGTGCACATCCTGGTGGCTTGTGTGAGTGGTATCACAGGTCCTGACTGCAAGTCAGAAGGCTCTAAGGCTAGAGAAACTGGGGCTAATCATGGAGCAGCTAATAATACCAACAATTTAACCATCTTGAAAGTGAAAAGGACACTCAGTTGTGTTCATAAATGACCCAGATAGCTGCTTTTTTTGAACAGAGTCTGCACAGTGATAAGGGTCCTTGTTATTACCATGATGTGGATTTATATCTCTATAAAAAGGGTTCTATGAGCCCTTTAGTGCTGCTATACTGCAGAGATATTCCACTCTGAATTGAGAGATTCAATGTCATTTATCTTGCTACAAGGCAGAATAAATTATTGGATTAACTCAAATTTTGACTGGACACATTCTGTACTGGCTTTAACAGGGGATTGAACCAGAAACTTCCAGAAATTCATCCTAGTGTAAATTATTTTGTAATTCTCAATCCTGTGTAACTTTTCATTTTATGCAAATAAGTTATCTATTGTACAGTTTTATATTTCGTAAGAAATTACTTAAATCCAAGCTTCATCCAAGTATCCTGTGTAGAGATACTGGGATCTCTCTGCACTCATCCATAGTTTTTCCCTATCAAAGCAAAGGTGAAAGTGAACTAATACAGTTTTGCATGAAGTTCCCAGCTTTTCATATAGATATTTTTTTACTGTTTTGGAAAAGCTGAACTTTCAGTTTAAACAGAGGTTTCCATAACAACAAAAATATTTGGCACTTCATCTCATAGAGCTTTGCTTACTATGAAAATTAAAACACTAATAGAGCCTCAGCTCTAATCATCTAGTTAGTGAATTTTGATTGATACTGAAAATGTATTTGAACAGGGGTGGGCTTTGTGTGTGTGCATATTTGGGATGTAGCCATTCAGTGATCTGCTCCTGTCTGCACTGGTGCTTATCTACATAGGTGTGAATATGGTTAATTTGAAGCAGCGAGCCTGGGAGGAGGAGAGTGAAAAGGAGTTCTGTGTTTCAGGACTGCAGTTAGTACCTTGGGGAACAAGAAAGACTGGATGATGCCCAGTAACATTGTTAAGAAAAATGTTAACCCACCAGATTTTCCTTGTTTCTTACATAGCAACCAGAGATAAACACAAACAAATAGATTGGAGTAGGAGGACACCAAGTGACTTGCCTTTTGTGAGCTGTGTTGAATACAGCCTTCTTCAGCTTGAACACAGCAACCTTTGTAACTGATCCAACATGTTGCTAGCATAAAATGGAAATCATCCTCTTCCCACTTTTGTCTGAACTGCCCATTCATTTTAGGGACTAAGAAGAAACATGCATTTCCCTGTTAATCCTTGTTTCTGAGCCTTATTCAAGCTTGGGTATTGGTTTTGGCTTCTGTTTTCCATGTTTGTCCGTGGTTAAGTCTTCGCCTATGTTCAGGTTGAAGGATTCTTGTTCAGGTTAAAGGATTCTTATGTACTTGTAGAATTCTTCTCAGAACATAAAGTAAAAGCCATAATTTTGCACACTTAAGTGGTTAGATGTGATTAAAAAAGGTGCAAAACAGTTGGACTTATACAGCCTTTGCCTCTCTCACCATACCCAAAACAGGATGTGCAAGTTACACTTTTTTCTGTAAGGCAGTTGCATAGCAGTCCAAAGAAATACAAACCAAGCCAAAACTGATGCTTTAATGCATAACTGCATTTATGCCAGGGAGCTGGCTTTGTAGTGAGGCCAGCTGGGATGCGATTCTTTTCACATTCCTAAAGCTCTGGACTTGCTTTGGACACTGATTCAGGTTGGTGAGGTTTGATTTTAAATAATAAACACAGATTTTACTCAGCTCCCCTCACATTTTCTATATTGTTTCTCTCTTCCAATGTTGGCTTAAAATGAACCTGGTCTTTACCCTCAGCCTCAATACTTCCAACAGACCCACTTTCCCTGGGACAAGAACCCTTTTTTCCTGTCCAGTTCTGCCTCCTCTCCAGACAGACAGCACTTCAGGGCACCTACTGTCACTGAAGTGGTTGATAAGGGCAGCTGCAGAGGGCAGGGGAGCTGAATTCATCCTGAGCTAGTAACCATGAACCTTGGGGTGGACACAGCTGGTGTTCAGCCTCTAGAGGAGGCCTGAGCATGGCCTGGATTTGCATGGTGGCAGAACCTGGGCAGTCTGTTGATCCAGCAGTCTGTTTTAAAAAAAAAGAGCAGAATCAGGTGCAAAGGGTGACTGGTCTTGCTGCTGCAGAGGAAGGATGCTGGCTGTCCTGCATTAGCCTGAGAGAGTGGAGGGAGCCTGGGACTCTGCTCTGTGGCTGTAGCTTTTGTCACGCTGAGAGAACATTGGATTTTCTACTGTTCAAGTCTCCTTCCATTTGTTTCTGCTAGTCAGCTCTAATGGTTTACTTTCATTTATGTGGCTGCTGGTGACTGGTCTTGCTGCTGCAGAGGAAGGATGCTGGCTGTCCTGCATTAGCCTGAGAGAGTGGAGGGAGCCTGGGACTCTGCTCTGTGGCTGTAGCTTTTGTCACGCTGAGAGAACATTGGATTTTCTACTGTTCAAGTCTCCTTCCATTTGTTTCTGCTAGTCAGCTCTAATGGTTTACTTTCATTTATGTGGCTGCTTTGGTTATACATTATTTATAGAAGGCTGAAATGAACAAAATGGATTTTAAAAGGCTCTTTGATTCCCTGCTTGGAAAGAAATTGTCTGTGTTATTCTCAAGATGAATCATTTATTAATCTCCCTTGAAAGGTCAGTCCTACAGTCCTGTTTGTCTGCTGTGGACATTGAGTCCAGATTGTTTTCAGTTACTCTGCACAGTGGGATGTCTCCTGCTGCAGCTTATTTCACCCATGACCTGCTTCCCTCTGAAAACACCTCAATCTCCTATCTGTCCACTCACAGTGACGTGAGATTGTGTCTGGTCTCCTTTGCTTGTGAGTCAGGTACACGAGGCCTGAATGTAAATCTTGGTTGTAAATGTCCCAAGCAGTTTTGAGGAGATATTTGTGCACATTCAGTGTTCAGTTGATGATGAGTGATGATCTGACTTGAGTTTATAAGTTCTGTTTGAAATACATGCAGTAAATTTCTGCAGATCATTTATCCATCTTGCACAAACCCTGCCTATAACAGATCTAAACAGCGTAATTCTTAAATCAGTAAGTTCCAATATTTGTGATTGCCAAACTAATCCCCTTCAAATTTTATGCTACAACCTATAAAACAACTACAAAGTCCTCTCCTCTTTTTTTTATTTCATTACAAGACCAGTCAAACTCAGAGCACGTTAACAAAATGCAGCAATTCTGAAGTCTTTCCAGTTTGGCAACTCTCTTATCTAACAATTACACGAGTACAGACAATCCAGACATCAATGCCAAGATGTTCAAAAGCAACTAGTAATTTTGGAAGTATCTCTTTTGCATGTGAAAAAGGCTGGCCAGGGGGGATCAGACCAGTGTGCTGGCTCTGACACTGATCAGCTCTGGCTGCTGAGACAGGGTGCAGGACTTGTAGTCTCATGCTACAGCTCATTTCCATGCTGCATCAAAAATGCAGCCTTTCTTCTGTTTCTTTTGAAACTGCTACCTGATTTTTATCATTTGATGCTCTCTAAATGCTGTTAGAGAGGTGGTAAACAATTATTCCCCATTTGCTTTCTCCACTCATATCTGCCCCGAGTAGTTCTTTTCCTGACTTAAGAGCCTGAGCCCATCAACGTTTTCTTGTATAGAAACTGCTTCATCTCTTTCATTGGTCTTGTCAATCTTCTCTGCACCTTCTTCCAGGTCTTCTGTGGGGAAAGGTGCAGGAACACTATAAAGAATCCAGTGTCCAGGCTGTCAGTGAATTTATTCAGTAACATGAAACTATTTTCTATTTTCTTTTTTATTTGCCTTCCCTTTTTATTCCTAACATCTGAAATAATTTCTTGGCTGCCATAGAATGTGCAGCTCCATGGCTTCTTTTCTAGTTTAGAGACCTTTGCATTGTATATAAAGTTTGCACTACTTTTCCCACATGCATCACTTTCCATCTTTACCTCTAGCAATATTGATTTTTGTGGGCCATTTTATCACCCTGTAATTCAGCATTGCAAGGACCTTCTGTAGCTCTTTGTGGTTTCTTTCCTTTCTAATGCCTTGCACCAGGGAGTGTCATCACTAGGCTTCTCACTGCTCTGTGCATTTGTCAGTTGTTTATGGAGTGCAGAGGCCCTGGATTTCTCAGGAACCTATTTGGGGCATGTCCAACTTTGACTTCATTTTCTCAAATTTGCTGATCAGGCTGTTCAGAAAAAGAGATCTTCATGAGCTTGTGTAAGCTATTTTTGAAGCTAATGCCTGTCACATTTAAAATCCTTCCATCTTTACCTCTTAAAAGTTGCCTTAAAATGTGTCTCTATAGTCACTGCACACTGAAATGCTTAAGAACAACTTGTCTTGTTGGTTATTCAAGTTTAAGAGCAGCTGGTATATAGCCTCAAGGTTCTCCTGAGCATGGTTTATCCTTTTTGAGCTCAGGACTTCATACCCTGCATCTCATGGTACTCCGACCATCTTAACAGGGTCCTTTTGAGAGAGAACTGGGACCGCTTTGGATTTAAGTCACGTGAAACACTGACTAGACTAAATGAATGAATCCAGGACTTCTACTTGTGTCAGCCTTGGTTTTCCATCTTCTTAAGCAGCAGATTTCTGCTGAGTTTCAGTTGTGCTACCTGAAAGGGTGACAGAAAAGGTCTGGCATGAGAAGAAAGAAGACCTGTAATGAAAAGCCCTCTTCTGCCCTACGTGTCCATATTAGTCTGAAAATTTTGTTTTGTTTTACAGGAAGCAGACTTATTGTCAGGTAACTCTGGCTATACAGACCCTGGAATTCAAGCAGAGGAATTCTCAACAGAAACTTCAGGAAAAGGGTGAGAAAAGTCATGGATAAGAGTCTCCCAGCAGCATGTATGGTGAATGGGAAATTGTCATCAAGGTCTCTGATAGACCCTAAAACAAAAGTACTTAGAAGGATAGGGAGCACCACTGCTTTGACCAAGGCACGGTGTCATTTTTGAGTTTCAGGAGGGTAAATACCTGCAGGAGTACTTGCCTTCCCTCCCTTGTCTTACTTTAAAGTTGCCTGAATTTTCCTATATTGAGCTCATTATAGTTACATAATTTCCAGTTGTCAAGAGATGCATCACAACAGCAAAATTTATAACATAGACAAGCACTCATGGGAAAACAGGATCCTTGTCCCTTTATTAATCCTTGCCTGTTTTCTTGTGTCCCTGGGGATTTCCTTCATATTTTGCCCAGTTGTACAGGAAAAGCTCCCCTGTAGTTTTGCTGGGAATGCTGTGCAAGGCAGAGGGTGCTTCAGTCAGGCTGATGTGCATGTGCAAGCAAAGAGACATCAGAGTTAACTCTTGTCTTAGGGAATCACCTTGTGTCTGCTGTGTATTTTAGCTTTCCAAACCTCTATGTCCACAACAAAGAAGGCAGTCCTGAGCAGAGCTCCTCCCCTGACCCTCCATCTCTTCACTTTGCTGTCCCTTCTCAGGTAAGCAGAACCTGGATACACACCAAACCTCTGCTGCTGACAATGCACCAAGGTGCACAGGTGCACACTCACTCTAGTGCTGGCAGTGCTTACCTCCTGCTCACACAGGCTCATCTTGCCCTCAGCATGTGTGTGCAGCTATGGCTGTGCCCTGCAGTCACTACACCCAGGGGATGCTCTCCTGTCTCACAGATGTGATCAGAGCTGCTCCACAGTCCCCTCGTAAGCTCACAGCTGTAACAGCTGTAATGCAGTGCCTTGCTGCCCCAGTGCAGCTCAGTGACTGTATCTGTGCTGCTTTGTTGATGTAGCAAGCTCTGCATGTTTCTGTAGAGCTAAAGCAAGCAGTTTATATGTTCAAATAAGCATGTTAAAGCATCTGCCCAGGCAAAGATGATGTGTGTGAGTACAAAGCTTGAGCATATGAAACAGCTGTCCAAAGTCTGTGGACTGTGCTCTTGATATTCAGGTATCTGCATTCAGAGGCTCTCCCTTCTCCCTCAAATGGCAAGTGATGGTGCTCTTCCCCTTTCCTCCAAGCTTATTAATCAAAATCTTGTCATCTAGATAATAAGAAAAGTTCCTTTTCATCTATACTCATATTTTGAACAAGAACTGCCCCTTTCTTGGGACATCCTGTATGAGTTTTGGTCCCTTCTTCTAGTTCGGTTCTACATATACAAGTGGCTAGTGTCTCATACATCCCTCAATGTACATCCCTCACTGTATGCAGATACTGCATTGAGGGATGTATGCATTGATATCTGCAGTCACTGTATGCAGATAGTGTATGTGTGTGCATGTTCATTAAAAACCTCTTTTCTAGCATTACTTTATGCAATGGTAGAGGAGTAAACTAAGACTGCTAACTCAGTCTTAAACTATAAAATATTATTGGTCTTTGGTGATACCTAATGCTCATTATTCAAAATAGGAGGAATTAAAAATAGGTAGCAAGTAAAAAAAAAAGGTCTGTCTCATTACTTTGGGCTGGTGAAGTGAATTCCCTTCTCTGGGGCCTCTTGCTTTCATAGCAACAGAAGAAAAGAAGAAAGAAGATGCATAAAGCTTCTTCGTCAGCAATGGACAGTGGATCTAAAGCACATGGTACACCTCGGCCCTCCTTCCCACGTCCCCAGTCAGGTGAGAATGCACTAGTCATCTTCTCTGCTGAATTTTGCATAAATATATGTATGATTTTCTTTACCACTTGTGGATCAGCCATAGCAGAGTTCCTGGACTTGCTGATGTATTTGTGGAACTGAGAGATATCTCTCTCTCTCCTTAAGCTTTCTTCTCCCTTTATTTCCACCTGCAGAGTTCCCAGCCATGGCTGCTCCCACCTCACCTTCCCACAGCCTTCACCTCATAGTGCCAGCTTTTCCTCTGAGAGCTGCTGTGCCCCCTGGCAGCATCGGCCTCATCCGGGCAGCAGGGCCCCCAGCTGACTATCACTCAGAGTCTGCTGAGTCCATGGATGAGATTCCTGTGGCTCAGACTCACCTTGGGAGCACAGCTCTTCAAGGGCCTGCTAAGAATAACTCAAGCAACTCTCAACATTATCCCTTGTCCACAGACAATCCCAGAGCTGACAGGAAGAAGAATCTGTGTTCTGAGCACAAGGTAAAAAGGAGAAGCTGCCAGCAGGACCGACGCGTGGAACGAGATCTGGAACTCTTTTCTAAGGTTCCTGCTGTGTTTGTCAGTAAGAGCAGTGGAGAACCTCTTAGCCCTCAGCCCCAGCCCAGTGAGAGCACATCCGAGCCACACCACAGAAAATGCACCAGCAAGCAGCATGTGGGCAGACATGATCCATGTTCAAAGGACATAAGGACAAACACCACAGCGGCCTAGGGATGAGCCTTCCAAAGCCATGGCCTTTGGGAACAGCATTAGTACTGTGCAGAGGGCTAATGGACTCATCCCTCACTGTGTGCTTGTTGCAGTGAGACATTTCTCAACCTCAATAAAAGGCAAGAGGCAGCAAGGTGGCAAACCTGAGGTAGACTTGTGGCTCGTGAGAGCTCGAATGCTTTCCCCAGAAAAGGGCCAACCCCTCATGGTCCTCTGCACACTGGTACTGCAGGAGGGTGCGTAGGGAAGAACAAGGATGCATCTCTGCTGTTCCCTGCACCCTGAAAACTATATTTCCCATCTGCCTACACCCTGTCAGTCTTTGGATGATGCTCAGGGGCTTAGCAGGTGGTCAGGGAGTAACCTCAGGATTGCCCAGTCCCTATACCGCTTTCCACTGTGTACCCCCAAGCCAAGTCCACCACCAGCATATTCTCCATAAGGCAGCATAGTTTGACCTGCTCACCCTTCCCAGCAGCCAGGGGTGCCCCACAGTGCACCATTCTCATCAGAAGCTTTGGGGTATGACAGGTCCTGAAACTTTTCCATTTCCTGGGCTGCCAGATCTGCATCAGTCCACAGCCAAGCCTCGAGTGTGTGTAGTGCAGAAAGATCCCACAGCAGACACTGGGCCACAGCCAGTGCCTCGAGTCACAGCACCCTGTGCTGGGGGTGAGAAGCAGAGAGCTGTCTGGGCTGCCATCCTACTGCACTTCAGCTTTCCTGCCCTCTTGGCTTCCCCAGGCAGCATGCCCTGTTCCACATTCCTGGCTGAGCACTGAGGCTGGGGCTTCCAGCAAGCCCAGATCTGCCTAGCAGCCAGCTAACCTCAGAGCCTGGGATAGCAGCTTCACACACATCCCCGTGGGCTTTGCCACTGGCATGGCTGTGCCTGACATGGTTTGTCACTTGGCAGCCACAGCAGCTGCACAGCCCTGCACAGCACCCTGAGTGGCAGCAGCTGGCATGGCTGGTTGCACCATTTCCAGACAGGCACATGCTGGTGGTGTGAACAAACAGGTGCACCAGCAAACAAAAGGAAGATCGGGGAGTCTTCATCACCCTACCAAATGTTTTGGTGCATGGAAAGCACAACTGACTGGTGAGTATGGGTGGGTTAGGAAAGGACAAGACAAAGCAAGGGTGCTGTGTGAGTCAAGCTAAGCTGTTCTCCCCTTGCCTAGCTCAGTCTGTGAGCATTCATGAGGAATTCATTCATCCAAGGAAACTACACCCTGCAGCAACACTGGGCTTGGGGTTTTCCAAGGCCAGCTGTCCCTCCACCAGAAGGCTTTGGTAATTCCTCTGCGGCAGGTGCCCCTGAGCAGATCATATGTGTTTTCTTACCCTTTGTCCATGCAGAACCAGTCCCAAACTCATGTACAGAGGTCTTTAGTAGCTCTGGCCACAATAAAATTTTCTATACTCTTTGCTAAATAGTATCCTCCTTTTTTGCAGCCATTCCTGGATCTTCCCAATCCATGGCCCCCAGGATCTTTGGTTCACTTCTCCCTGAGCTCCTGATGTCTCAGCAGGGCTTATCATTGTAACCAGTGTGGGGGCAAGAGCAGTCCCCTCTCTGTAGTGCCCTTCGGTGTTAAATGGGAATGCCTTCCCTGAGGGGTAGGGATCAGACCACCTTCTCCCAGAGGTGTGTAACCCAGCCTGGTTTCTGTGCTGCAGAAAGGCTGCTGTGCCCTTTGGGCTGAGGAGAGCCAGGTTTCCTGGTCTACCAGGTGTCTAGGGAAGGAAAGATCTGGCATGTCCTGAGGTGCCAGCTTTCAGGCTCAAGCTGGGAGGGAAGGGAACATCCTATAGTTTGCTGGGACATGACCCTCTCCAGGAGCAGGGAGCTCACACTCAGGTTCAGAATTTTGTCCTCATCCCTTTTCCAGGCTGTGCTCACCTGTCCACTGCCCTATGGCAAAAAGCCTATAAGCTCCAAATTCCCCTGTCTCACAGAAAGGCACCCACCTGACAAGGGTCTCTGCCCTCAGAGTCCCCAGGAACCAGTGCAGAGTCCCATAAGCTGCTGGGATATACTGGTTCTGCCCAGCCCTGCAGACTTTGCCACAAGGTGCAGGAGCCCATGTTTTTTATTGGAGACCAACGGGATGCCCTGGGGACCCTGGGTAGGGAAGACATCCTTCTGCTGCCTTCAGCTGGAACATTTTCTCCACTCTGCTGAATAACCCAAGGCTGCCAAACATGCATTGCCATGTCCGTATGTTGGAGCAGCTGGATATTGAGCCAAGAGCCAGGCTCCAGCAGGATGGGCTCCCAGCACTGCCAGTGTTGGACTGTCCTGAACCTCATGGGCCATGGGCAGGATTGTGTGTGCCATGTGGTGGTTGAGTTTGGCTGGGGTTTTTGTTTTTGCCACAACCACATCAAGCAGAACTATCAAGGATGCATAATGAGCATGCAAGCGTAAAAAATGATGAGTCTGAGATGGTTTAACTCCTGGGAGAACTGGACTCTCCCTCCCAATCTCACTTCTGTCCTCTTGAGACTCTAATGCTAATAGCCTGCAGGTTCAGGTGCTGATGGCATTTCTGCTGCCCTGGATGAGGAAGGCCCGTAGTAGACCTGTGGCAGCAAGCAGAAGGAAAGTCACATTAGGGTGCTGCTGCAGAGGCCACTGTTCAAGCAGAGTGCTCCTGGGCTTGACATCAGAGGATTGCAATGACTGCAAGCTACAGCCCAGCAGAGAGCTGGGTTAAGGTGTCCTGATGCCCTCGTCTCCCAGTCACTGCAGAGACTCTGAGGTCTGACATTTCCAAGCACCTTCACCATTAAACTAAAGGCTTTTGCCAGGGCATGAGTTCTCCCATCAGCAGGAGGCAGCACCCTGAACCAGCTATTCATGGCTTTCTATTAGGAAGAAGCAGGGATTTGCATGATGACAGCTTCCCACCAGTCTCTAAAATCATAAATCACTGTCCCTGGCCACCCTCTGGCAGCTGTGCCAGGCCCTGCAGTGCCTGCCTCAAGCCTCCCACCTTGGCACAGGACATACATCCTGCTTGCTTTCATCTTCAGACCTGGCTCAGGTTTCTTTGTTTCCTCTTTGAAGTCAAGGGGACCTTCCTTTGGGAAATGATTTTGTGTGAGTCTGTTCGTGTGCTGCTTTTGACACGTACTGAGAGCATCTCAACAAGCAGCCTTGAATTGCATGGTGGGGGAAAGGAAGCTCCTGCCAGAGGATGGAGCTTTTCCCCCCTCGTCTCTGCCCGGTGCCGTGCATGGCATGACCCCAGCTCGTGCTCGGTGGCACACCCGGCACGCACCCAGCACACCGATCGCGCTGCTCATCAGCCACAGCTAAGCCCCGTTAATGCCTTGTGGACACATTGTTGCTGGGGTGACCGTATACATATTGCACAACCTCCGAAACACTTCCCTCTGTTTTGTAGCAACTCGCGCTAGAGGAGCAGCGTTCCCGCATAACCTCATCCCACCCCAGATGCGGCTGAGCCAGCGACTCATTCCTGAAACAAGACGGCTCCCGGGAGCCTGCGGTGCCCAGCCCCGGGGGAGGTGAGGGGCAAAGAGGATGAGGGAGAGCACGGAGGGTGCCCCGAGGCTGTGTCTGTGTTCTTGTGCAAGCTCTGAGCTGCACCCTGAGTAGTCACAGCACTCTGGGACCCTGTGAATGTGGGGAGAGAGGGACACGGTCCTGGCAGGGACCAGCCAAAGCTGTGCCTCGGGGATGCTGAGCCTCGGTGTGTCTGGGGCAAGCACTGGAGTCATTAAGCACATTAATGTCCCTGGGGCAGGAGGCAGCCTGGGAACATCCTGACCTTGATTAGAAGGGAGAGGTCCCTGGGGAGCTGAGCACTGAGCCATGTACATGCTCCTCCACCACATCACAGGACCTGTGCAACCTCCCTCTAAACTTCTGCCTGTCCATGGGCTCCGGACCAAGTCACAGCCTCCTCCCGGGCTTCCTTTTCCGGGCTGCATCAGGAACAGCAGGAGCCGGCCAAGGACCATACTCCATCCCAACAGGGCTGTCATGGTGACAACAAATGCACAACAAACCCCAGCCCTTAGGAACTGAAACCTGACCTGCTCAACCCAACCCCATGGGGCAACTCGCCAGCTGTGGCTCGGTGCCCACCCTTGCCCTGCTCTCCCCATGTGCCATCTCTTGGCTCTTCAGGCTCTGCAGCCACAGGACCAGCTAGAGTTCCTACAGAAGGACTGCTGACGTGCCCAGCTCCTGCCTGCTGCTGGCTCAGTGGATCCAGGCTCTCATGCTGCCCACTGCTGCCAAGCCCTGTAGAGCTGCTGTGGGCTGGATGCTCCACACAGCATTACCTCGGCTCCTCTCCAGAGCTCTCAGCTGGAAGCAGAGCCAAAGACACCTGCTTCAGTGGGGAGCTGCAGGGTAAACTAAGCCAGACTTATCCACGCTCCTCGACGTGACAGTCCCAGTTCTTCCCATCTCCTTTAACCAGAGGATCTTCCGCACCTTCTGCAGGTGGGATGACACCCCTGGATCCTTGTTGGCCTGCATGGAGGCTGGTTTAAGTTCCCACTTCACAGCCAGGCACCTTTGAGCCTCTGTACTTTGAGACCTGCTTTCATATTGTGTGAGGACTAGGAAGCATATGTGGTCACCTTCTCTGTGCAGCACCCGGGCTCTCTGGCTGTGCTTGAGCTCTACCAGGACAAACTGGAGAGAGAAACAACACTTATTGGAGAAGTCTGCCTGGACACTGGCTTCAGATGAGCCTCCACACCTGTCCTGCCTACACTGGACTGTCCCCTATGGGATATCCTTGCCACCCTGCCTGTGTCTGGGCTGTGAGATAGTGGAGTGAGATGTAGGGGTCACAGGGCTGGTTGGGGGACAAAGTGGTGTCCTTTATGTGGCTGTGACCAGCTGGGGCTACCCAAAGCAACCAGGTGCTGTGGCATGCCTGCATCTTCTGGCACTGGTCTTGTCACTGACTTCTAAAGCCAGAGGTAAATTAGTGAGCCCAAACTCCAGA